CAGCTCGCTGAGGCTGTGGTGTTTCACCTAGCAGAGTGAAGCTGGGGCACGTCGCGTTGGCATCAACTGCTCTTCTGTGAGGCCCGGTTGAGTTTGGCTCTGCTGCAGCATTTCCCACCCTTCCCCGATCTGATCCATCTGTTCTTGTAGGTCAAAACATGAGGAAATTGAACTGGTGAGCCTGGAGGAGTTTTACAAAGAGGCCCCTCCTGAAATCAGCCGGCCTGCCATCACCCTGTCTGAGCCCCACCAGCAGACCCTGGCCCGCCTGGACTGGGAGCTGGAACAGCGCAAGAGGTGGGTCAGTGGCATATTGGTTTGGTGTCAGCCTGCTGCACTCTCAACAGACCCCCAGAGTGAGCTCCACAGCTGCTGGGTGAAGCAAATATGGGCGATAGAAGTTTTAACATCGTCTTGGAATAGTCAGTGTAGGACAAGTGACAGATTTATTGTGTAGCTGAGTCTGCAGTGTGGAGGATCATTCTTGGGGGCTTGGTGGGAGCCTTATTTCATAGATCAGGGAGTTTTCTTTCACCTGCCTGATGAAAGAGAGCCCCAGGGGATCCTGGGGAGCAGAGCAGCCTCCAAACCAGTATGCAAGGAGCCCTGAGCCAGCTGTAGCCGCTGTGCAAGAGGGGCTGCCTGGCTGGGACCACACCTTGTGCTCTGAGTGATGACAGCAAAGGGTCTCCTGAAAAGCCCACGCGTTATTTCACCGAGGCAGTGAACACCGGCACTGGCTCTTTGGGTAGCAAGGGAAGAAAATTAATTTTATAGCTTGACCTTTCCCCAGTGTCTGCTTGGAGGCTCTTGCAGCAGGGAACGGGGACGCTGCCTGCCATAGGGGTGATATTGAAGGATGGACGGTTGTGCACCTTCATCCACAACCTGGTTCCACAAGATGCGCCATGTAGGGCGAAGTGATCCCTCTTTTGTCTGCCGTGCAGTGGTGCAAGGAGCAAAATTAAGCCAGCCTGGCTGCTGCTGTTCCTGCCTGCCTGTGCTCCTAACACTTGTCACGGTGGGGAGCTGCCTGCGCAGCCCTCAGCTCGGCTGCACTGCATTGCCCTGTGACTGCTGCTGTTGTCCTGGTGCTGGCAGCCACTGCCTCAGTGCAAGCTCTATCCCCCGAGGTCGCTCAGCCGCTGTGGGCAGGCTTGGCTGCTTGTCAACTCTTGCCCCAGGCGAAAAGTGAACGTGATGCAACGTTCCTGTGTTTTGATAACAGCCAGCAGCTTTTTCAGCCAGGCAGCAGCTGA